TGTAATTTGGCGCTCTCACTGCTCCACAGTTCTCTTCTGTCAATAAATCCAGGTTTAATACCCCCTGCTGTTTGATCGTTTCTTTAAACCTACAATTATTTACCACATCTGTCTGCGTAACATCCCGTCTAATTGGTCGATAAATGTCAGTTTAGGTTTAAGTTTTTCTGAGAATATAATTGCTTGGCTTTGAGGAATAACAGTAAGAACTGGCTATGCTTTTGTAAAAATATCAGTCCGAATACAGAAATAACAACACATTTATTTAGAAAACAGCACAACTAAACAAATCTTGAAAATGATTCAAATGCAACGGGGAGCAGAAGTGCAGTGGGAGGAGGTGGGCGGTCGTCACATCTGGGCCTGAAGGTAATGTTCATAATTGGCTCGAAGGACAAATTCAAAGTAGGGCTTCGATTTCAAACTGCTCAGCTCGTCCAGCTCCAGCAGCTCTTTGACGTCGGGCAGGTACGTCTGCAGAGGAACACCTGGACAACACAGGTGGAGGGAAGTTCATCTAAATATATTCTTAAACATGAGGACGGTTTTGAATTAGGTGACTATATATTTATCAAACTGATCGTCTTTTCTTTATGTTGTCCTCAACAACAAATACTTACAGCAGATTATTTTAAATGGAAGTCAAACGGTATTTGTAGATGAAACAAACTATAGGTTTGAACACCTTCGTCGGTTTATTCTGTTAAGACGTAATGCCACATCGTCTCACCTTCCTGTATCAGTTTGAGGAGGATCTTGACGAAGATGCTGTCCTTGGCCGCATCCAGAGGGTCGTCGCTCCCGTCAGCAGAGGACCAGCTGAAAGGGACGCAGCAGCACGTCAGACAATACGTAAAACTAACCAAGTCTTCCTACCTTTTGTTTTCCCAGAACGAGATTTGTAGAAAATCTTCCATCAAAAACGACACAAAAAACGAGAACCCACAATGGTGAGTAGTTGTTTGTCCACTAGGGGGCAGCAGATACAAGTTGAGCAGCATCATTCATTTGTTGAACTGAGTTGAGTTTTGTGGCAAGTTTAGGGCTAACAGTCACGCTGTTTTTCGATCTTTCTTTGAATGCTGCACTGTGTTCACCAGCTCGTCTGTCTGCTGTATGTTTGCAGCTTTTCTTGCTCAAAACTATGGAGCGAACCACAACAGTGAAGTAGCAGCAGAACAGCTACAGACGGAGCTGAAATAAAGCTCTGTAAAGCTGATGGAAGCAGCAGAAGTAGCAGACAGTTCATCACTTCCACATCAACACACTGTTAGAGTAACACAAGTGATAATTTAGGTAAATTCTCAGTTAAAGGACTTGATAAACACACGACAGATCTTACTCGTCTCTCCTGAGCGCTTTGCCGAAGATCTCACATTTGAGCGAGTCGATGTCGACGGCGTCCTCCTGCAACACAGAAATCCACACACACTGATTTAACTGCCCTCACACCTGGAACACAGCGGCGCTCGATAAGAACAGGAAGCTACCTCGTCGATGTACTCCAGCAGGTCCAGAGCCTTTTTGAAGTCGTACTCGTTGGCTCGCCTGTTGTCATCACAGATGTACAGCTGCAGAGGAAGAGGAGGAGATGTTTCATGTTCTCAAGCCGTTTGTCCCTCTTACTAGTTATGTTTCAAAAGTATCGGAAGAGAAAATCTGGTTTCTTCTCTTGGAGAAGAAACCAGATTTCAGCTCGATTTTTACAACAACTAAACTTATTTTATGAGATGATTCGTTTTTTTAATGAATAGACTTTTAAGATGATTATTTGTATGTCTTTTGAAAGAGACAGCAGAGAGAAAGGAAGTATGTGGACAGCGAGCAGGACAACGGTGTGCAGCACATCCCAGCTGGGAAACGAAATGAGAACTGCTGGTTTGTGTCCTGACAAAAGAAATACGAAATTCCAGAAAAGTAAGTTCTGTAAGAGGCTTGGAAGCTCCTCCCACCTTCAGTTTGTTTTTCTAGCGAGGCCGCCTGATTGGCCGACCTCCCTGTTCATCATCATTCTTCTTTGTTCGGTCCTTTTCTTCTTTTTCATAATTCCAGAACAGGTACTGTAACCAGATTGGCCGCTGCTGAGTGTTATCAAAACTGACCAATGGGTAAATGAAGGCTGTGGTGACCAATGGGAGAAGGGCTCGCTCTGCTGTTGTTGTTTTTGTTTTTCTTAATCTTATGATGAAGGTAGCTCAAGGCGACTGAACCTCAGATGGTGGGAATGGATCTTGAGATGACGTCGCTCCCAGTTATTGTTTGAATTGGGAGCGATGTCATCTTGAAATGGGACTAAACTCCATAAATGATTTAAAACAAACAAAACCTTTCAGCACGGCGCACAAACATTTCTGCTTAAAATATAAATACATCACAGCCCCAAGAGGCAAAATACTAAAGTTACACTTTAAACCTGGTATTAAATGTGCTCTCGTTAACTAAATTGTGCCGTAATACGATCTCAATATGCAAATCTGAGCCTGAGCTCACGTTACTGTTACTAGGAGGAGGCAGACTCTCAAACTGTGGGACTGATCTGCTTTAAAAATAAGAATGTGGTACAGACTGCGTTTCATAGTCTGAAGTCCTGTAACGACACGAGTCTGACTAAAATGTGGTCTGTGATCTGATCACATTCTGAGTACATTTATATTTGCATTATCCAGACATCTAGATACAAATCATGTCTGAAGATTCTCAGTCCTCCAGGTCACGGTTGTTCTGGTAGATTAATCGTAGCAACTGGACTTGCTTGAAGACGTTCCACCTCTCATCCAAGAAGCTTCATCGGTTCTGACTGACTAGTTGGGAGTTCCAGATACTTATATCCTTAAAGTGTTAATGGCTCCTTAAGGATATCTGGAACTCCCAACTAGTCAGTCAGAGCTGATGAAGCTTCTTGGATGAGAGTTGGAGCGTCTTCAAGCAAGTCCAGTTGCTACGATTATTCTACGAGGATACAAACCATGTGACGACACCAGGTGGGTGTAAACGGAGTCTAACAGTCGCGTGTTCCTTCAAGTCGAGGCGTCTGCGTGTGTTTTCACCTGTATGAGGTTGTGAGCGCTGAGCAGAGGCATGGTGTCGGGGTTTTGCTGTTTCTCCTCCAGGAGCTGTCGGGGAAGAGTCTCCTGATGCAGCAGGAAGCGCTCCTGCTCCACGATGTCTGATCAGAGAGATAACAGGCGTAACAGGACATGTTTTCAAAGCACCTTACATGCGCATAAAGTCACATTTTGGGGGGATTTTCATCAGCAGAAAAGGTGAAATAGTCTCATTTCTGGTTTTTGCGTGGCTCAAAAAGCAACCAAATAAGAGACAACCCACTCCTACATTTGAAATACGGACAGACTGACGAGCAGGATGTGTTTTTACCGTTGACTTGTTTGGTGAGCTCGTCCTCCGGCAGGTTGGAGGCCAGCGTCGTCAGCTTGCTGAGGGCCAGCAGAGTCTTCTTCTTCACAAAGTAGCGCGTCTCCATGTTGGCCTGGTTGTACAGAGTCCTGTAGGCCTGCAGAGACGATCACACCACGCCTGTGTCAACCTCACTTGAAAACCACAGACACCAAGTACGCTTTCCTTCTCTTTTATTTACATTTATTTCTAAATAATGTAAAGATGTCGGTCGAATCAGTCAATTAAACGATGCTTTACTCTGCAGAGTCTTTTCAAATAAACACAGTCAGACCTGCTTTCATTAACTTCAACAATGAATATAACTAGAAAAGAAGCCCGACATGGTAAAGAGTCATATAGAACAGAATCCACAACCACAATCTTAACAGTTCATAATTTGTTTTTAGGTTGACAGATTAAAAAACAACAACTGCAATACTACTGTCATCAGACTGCGTTTAAAACCAGAACCACTGCCTTGTGTTGAGACCACAAGTCGAAACAGGAAGCTGTGTGAGTGTGTGTGTGACAGAATGTGTGTGTGCGTGTTAACTGTGAACAGAAGAGGAAACGTGTGTGTGTGTGTGTGTGTGTGTGTATGTGTGTATGTGTGTGTGTGTGTGTGTGTTTGACAAAGAGACACCATCGCAGACTGTTGGCTGCTGCGTTTCAACGGGTTTAGAGCTGCTGAAACAGGAAGGAAGTTTTGTGTGTGTGTGTGTGTGTGTGTGGTTTTTCTATACAACGGTGAACAGCTGCAGAATGTGTGTGTGTGTGTGTGACAGGAAGGAAGGCAGGAAGGAAGGAAGGAAGGAAGGCAGGCAGGAAGGAAGGAAGGAAGGAAGGTGTAACCCTGTGTGTTGTGTGTGTTCTTTGTCACACTGCTGGGGTTAAAGGCACGGAAGGACATTTATCTTCCCTCAGTGAGGCAGCAGCAGTAAAGCAGTCGACGTGAACATGTGAATGAAAAGGGAAGAAGTAGTAAAAGGAAGGAAGGAAGGAAGGAAGGAAGGAACGAGGGCAACAGGGAGGACAGAACAACGATAGGATGGTAGGGTTCTAAGTCTAAAGTCACACAGTGAGACAGACGAGCAGATCCAGGCAGCAGGAAACCAAGACAGCGATCAGAAAGGGCCGTCTGACATCGAGGTAAAGAGGTGATAACATTCTAAATATAGCGTACACTCTTGTCTGTGTGTGTGTGTGTGTGTGTCGTACGCTGTGGTAGTCGTGGACGTGGATGTGGTGCAGCCAGCTCAGGTGTTGGTGGGAGTGCAGGAAGCTGGCCAGCTGCTGGTGCTGAGCGGCCGGCTGGGACAGCAGCTTCCCTCTCTTTCCCTTCTCCATGTACCAACGAAACAGGAAGTCGGCGAAATTCTACGACAAAAAAAAGAGACGCGCTAGACAAAGAGATACGAGGGTTTTTGAAGTATCGGGCCCATGTGGGGTGTTCACATGTGTGCTGTGTGCATATGCTGAATATACAAACATGGATGTGCTCGTCTGTTAAAGGCTGTTGTACGCAGGTTAGAGGACAACGAGTCAGATCAGCAACCACAAACAACTGAATCACAAGTTTGCTTAAAATTGCAGCACACCCACACTACACCTTAGATGTATTATTTTTGCAGTGATGTTATGCTATCAAATGTCTGTTACAGCTCCTGTGGTAAGAGTTCTTGTTGTTGTCATGAGCAGGCCAGGAGCATCACCGCCACTGGGACACCAGGAGGCTGAGGATTGGCTGGACCAGAGGAAGAGGCGGTATTTAAGCATCCTCTGAAACAATCTTCCGCCCTGCTTTAAGAATAGTTGTTGGAGTTTTGTAAGAGTGTTTGCTAAGATTTTCTTTGATAGTGTTTGGTCCAAATATTGTACGAGATTCTTAGTTAGGTTTTGAATTGTTTTGTTAAAATTCAGATTTCTGAGGCTCTAGTTGTTTAATGCATATTTTTCTGTCAGTCAGAAGCAGGAGGGGTGGGCCGCCATTTTTGTTCAAACCTTGTTTTCTCCTGTTTCTGCTTCATCTAGGGAGGGAAGTTTAGCAAACGTGTTTCTGTTTATTTATGTTCTTTCCAGGGTTTAGTTCAGTTTTGGGGTTTCAGACGGCTTGTTTGTCGTGTTGGCATTAGTCCACCCTGAAGCCAGGCTGCTATTGCTCTGCTCTTTGATTTATAAATGCCATTTGTGTTTGGAACTGTGTAAAAGTAGGAATTTTGGTAATAAACTGCCTATTTTTACACCTGTTCCTCATCCGCTTTATGTTGCGTCTCTGGACCTCTAGACCAGGGCCGTAACAATGTCTTTTTCATCTCTTGTAATTGCAGGTGTAGCACACTTTATACCAGGAAAAATGGGTATATGATGCTTGGCTGAAAAAATAAACAGAAAGGCCGGATTGAAGTCAGAGAGGTTTGTCAGACCCACATCTGCAACGTCCACCGTCAGACCAAGCAGGACCTAAACACACCTCACAACACCGTCTGTCCTCAGGCCCTCGGCCTCCATAAGCTGTCTACCTGATCAGCGAACTTGGCCATGTAGTGCTGAAGGCGGCTCTGGTTGTCCGTCTGCTCACACATCTGCACCAGGATGTCGAAGTCGCAGTACTTCTCGGCCAGCGCTGCCACCCACTGGTGCTGGCCCAGCTCCACTGCAACACACAGCAGACGCAGTGACGACACAATCCCCTGCAGAGGAACAATCTGAACCGTCAAAGTTTCAAGTGACGTTCGATATTCAAGATTCTTTCATCTACATTAGTTTCAGTAAAAAACAATTACATGAAATATTGTTATTGGACTTTTTGGCATTGTTGTCCTCATTCATGTAAAGACAGGAAACATGCATCTTTACCGTTCAGCCACCTGTTATTAGATGCTTTAATCTTTTAAATATCAAAATCAATATTGGCAACAACAACCCATGATGGGTCGGGCTCTAGTTTTTAGACGCCTGTGACTGTAATCTTGGTTCTTAGACCCTCTTGAATCGTCCACTCACACAGCGGTGCCAGCAGCTCAGAGCGGCGCTGGCTGTACTCCATCTCCAGGCTGTTGTAACGCTCCTGCTGGGCTCCTGGGGGCCTCTGCTGCAGAGAAGTCAGTTGGGCCACGTAGCCGCCCAAGTAGATGTCCAACAGCGCCACCAGCTGCTCACAGAGGGCACTGCGCAGCTCGGAGTCTGCATGCGGATACACTGAGCGCAGGATGATCTCATGCTGGCGGGAGATGACGGTGCGAACGCCACCAACACCTCCTGATGCTGCAGGAGGACAGAAAGGGCTTCATCATTTATTCTGCTCAAACAGGCACTTGGAGATTCTAAAGTCTTTCCTCCCCACAGCATTGACATAAATAAAATAGGAGATAAACTAATAAATATAATTCAAGTCAAATTTCCATATACTGACATTAAAAGTGTCCTGTGGATTCTCTGAACAGGTTTTCTGAGTAAGTCCTTGTGAATGATGTAAGAAAAAAAGGTAAGTGTGTCACAATAATAAGGCTGCAACACGCACACGTCATCTGTTGTGATTTCAGGGTAAATATTATAGGGGTTAAATATTAACCCTCTGAATCCCAAAAATCTGTTGGCGGGTTTGAAAGGAATCCATCCATCATCTATACACTGCTTAATCCTCATTAGGGTGGTGGGGGGCTGGAAGAAGAAGAAGAGAACCCGGAGAGAACCCACGCTGCACGGGGAGAACATGGAGACTCCACGCAGAAAGATCCCGGGTGTCCTCACTGGGACGTGAACCGGTGACCTTCTAGCTACGAGGCGACGGTGCTAACCACCGAGCCACCTTGAAAGGTATGCTATCTTTAAAAACTAGAGGCTTCCGTCTCCAGACCATCCTTAAAATAATCATCTGTGGGGCGCCCGTATAGCTCACTTGGTTGAGCGGGCGACCCATGAACAGGGGCTACAGTCCCCGACGCAGCGGTTGTGAGTTTGAATCCCGCTCACGACCCTTTGCTGCAGGTCTCTCCCTCACTCTTCTCCCCCCTTTCCTGTCTCTCTCCACTGCTCTACATAAAGGCAAAAGCCCAAAAAAAAAAAAAAAAAAAAATCATCTGTGACGTGTGTGGAAGCAAAATCAATTCTAAGACTGAGCAAGAAAACTTAAAATCGTGTGTCAAATTGTTTTTCAAAATGAAATAATTTTGACAATTTACACTTAACTTCAAGTCAAGAAATTCATGCTAACTTCTTAACTTGTCAAAATTAAATAATTTTCACAAACCAAAGTCTGTAAAAATTAAAAAAAAAACTTCTGTAAAACTGAACTGCACCAGACTGAACTGCAGGCTGTTCTTACAGAGCAGAGATGAGAAAATTATGAAAACTAAAAATGTAACTAGTAAAATATCTCTAATGTATCGTCACCATGTTTTCCAGTCGTGGTAACAGCTGTAGACAAAATGTTGATTTCAGATTTTTGTCAATTTTTGTAAAATAAATAATCAAAGAAATTCAACTTTCTTTTTAGCTTTTGTTATAATTTATGGCATTATAACTTTGTTATGCTGCACAATGACATTTGTGAGTTCATTGCACTTCTAGTCGTGGTTGTGTCGTTTCCTTAGAGGTCCATTACTTCATATCTTAGTCAACAATAAGCCCATAGTGAGCATTCATGAAACAGCAGCAGGAAACACCCAGAAAGTGCAGTCAGAGGATTCATCTGGAACAGGAGGAAGATTTCCAACAGAAATTATCTGTGGTGGTCTGAAATCCAAAATCTAACACCGGCAGCTTGAAAACAGTTCAAGGATTCAAGGAACTTAATGTGTCATGCCATTCACATGTTTGTGGTAAGCAATTAGCACTCAGGTCTTGTTTTTTTTTTTTAAAGAAAAAGCCTCATAAATAACAAATCCAATAAAACAAGAGCAAAATATAAGTAAAAATACAGCAATGTAAGTGTAGTAAGAAAAAAAACAAAAAACATTAGAGTAGAAAAGCCACAATTAGTTGTGTTTTGCACTGAATATTTGTGTAGCAGCGAGGCAGACTGGAATACTGCACATATATGACAACTTCTTGACTGAAGAGCCATTTTAGAGATGATGCATATGATTTTATTTAATGCTTTTAATGACATTTTTGGACTTTCCAATCTCAGTCCCCAAATAAATTCCGAGCTTAAAAAACGCTCTTGAGAGCAAATTTCATGTAACCAGTATCATCAAATGGCAGCAACCCAACACTGAGGGTAAACAAAGGGAATCACAGCTGCTTTGGTGCTTGTAGAAGATGAACTCATATTACCTGTCCAGGGGATGTACTCAGGCTCTGCAGCAGTGTTTTCAGAAGCTCTGTACATAGAAGCCTTTGTCTCTCTGTACTGACCAGCAGCTTGAAGCATGTCCTGCACACACAGGACAACAAATGTGGTGTGCATTTCTTGAGTTAATCTCTGCTCGTGCACATCACCCTTGATGAAGTGGTGAACTGTGCGCTTACCTTAATGATGTTGTTGACTGTGATGACCGCCTCGGCCCACTGCACTGAGTCAACCGGGTTCTCCTTCAGACTCCGCTCCTCCTCCTCCAGCAGACAATCGAACACCGAGGAGACCTGAGACACCTGTGAAAGCACCAAAACAGCAGTCCAGCAGCCGTGCAAACGATGCAAACGTTTTCACGCAGTCACACACAGACCTCTCTGAAGAAGACGTCAGCAGCAGTGAGGCTGGGCGGCACCGAGGTGTTGCTCCTCTGCAGTGCGGTGCTGATGGCCCGGTTGACCAGCTCGGCATGTTTGGTGTGGTGGTTCTTTAACACCATGGCCGCCTGCAGCTTCTCGGCGTGTTCACACAGCAGCAGGCGTGTCGCCATGGGAGACGAACGCACCGTCACCTGACTGAGCCGGTCCAGCAGACCCACCTGACAGGAGAGGAGAGCGCACGTCACACAATCATTATCATACTACTGCTACTGAGTCAGTACACTGTATGTGCAGATGTGAACAAAAGCTTAAAGAGCCTCTAATTTATGGCTGTCATGAGTTTCAGTGACTCCTACAACTCTTTAATTTGATAGAATGATTGAAGCACATGCGGCTTTGTCACAGAAACAATCATGCACTTGGGTTTTTTCCTAAATTGTGGTCTTCTGGAAACATCACAAAACCTTTTCTTCGTCATCTTTCGTGTGTTTGGGGTCACTGTCTTGTTGAAACACTCAACTGTGTATGAAAGCCAGCCTTCTAGCTGATGATTTTAGGTTTTCTTGAGGAATGTGGAGGTACTCCTCCTTCATTATTCAATTTTCTTTGTGTAAAGCATCAGTTTCTCTGGCAGCAAAACAGGCCTAGAACACAATACTGCCACCGCCATGCTTGACAGTAAGTTTGCTGTTCTTGGGGCTTCGGCCTGACTGTGGCCAAATAGCTCAGTTTTTCTTTTATTCAACCACAGAACTTTCCTCCAGGAGGCCTTGTCCTTATCCACGCGATCGGCAGCAAACTTCAGTCAAGCCTGAAAGTGCTGCTTCTAGAGAAAGAGCTTCCTTTGATGGAAAACTGTGGACTGCTTTGAAATGGCTCCAGTTAATTTGCCTGACATGTTGAAGTGTATGCAATTTTTTGACCAACAGATTTTGTCGTATTTTTAGAAGTTTTATATGAAACTTATGGAGGAACCAAAAAGCACGATGGGTTTTTTGTGACAAAGACACGTGTTTTAACGATCACATCACAGAAAATTGATAGTTAAATTATTATTATTTTATTTGTCTTTATATTTCTACTTTAATAAAAAATATATATATATTTTATTTTATTTATGTGTCTTTGTATTTAGATTCCTCCTATTTTTACTTTTATTAGCTTTCTTTTATGGATTTATTTTGGATTAATATTGCTTCATATTGCCACAATATTTAGTTTTTATTTCATTTATTCTTCTTTTTATTTGTAATTTTATTTTATCATTATTATGACTATTGTGAATTTGGCCTTTTCTTTAATGGAAGGCTACGAACAAATTTGAGGATGACTGTATACTAATGTGTGCAACTGAGTGTGCGTCTTCACCTGGAGAAGGAAATCCATGAAGCAGCCGTGGGCCTTCATCTTGTCCTCCAGCTGGTGGAGGATTATAAGAGAGGTGAGCGGAAAGCCGGCACTCTCTGAAACAACAGAAACAAAACAAACAAAAAAAAACACTGAAAAATAACAGAGACAAAATGTTAAGCGCAAACTAGAGGCAGACAGTGTGTCTGCTTGTTTATAATAATAAGACTCCAGAGGGCTGAAATACGGAGCGAGATCAGTGGGACAGCAGGTATGTTGAGCTTAAAGTCAGAGTTTTCAGTGTCATGAAGGTGGTTCTCTTTTTACATGGCTAGATCTCCGTGGTATCTGATGGTGTGGAGCTAGGTCACCATGGTAACTGGTGCTGTGGAGCTAGATCTCCGTGGTAACTTATGGTGTGGAGTTAGGTCACCATGGTAACTGATGCTGTCGAGCTAGGTCACCATGGTAACTGATGCTGTGGCGCTAACCTGGTCGGGAGCAGGTTATGTTTAGAGCTGGAAAGAGTTAATTAAGTAATTAATTACCCCAAGTTTATCAAATACCATGACAGCTTTAAGCTTTTTACTAGGTGGCCAACCACTCTTGTCCACCCCCTTCCCTCCTTTCCTCACCATCAGGGACAGACTCGGCCCAGCGGGGGTCAGAGGCCGGGTAATCGTCCACGAGGTCCAGGTTGATCTGAGTCACCATGCTGTCCAGCTCAGCTCCTTCCTCTCCATCACTGTCAGTGGGGAAGAGCTCATCTGTGACTGTCTGAGCCCCAACCAGGTCATTACTGATAAGGAGAGGGAGATAATCTTTATTCAGACGATAACAGGAACCATATGCTTGTATAATGAGTAACACATGAACGGAAGAGCGATTAAGAGAAGAACAACATTCCTCTCGTACTTCCACACTGATTGATAATAATTTCCACACTTAAAGGATTTCAAATTCACATCTTTCGTCTATTCAATAGAGACAAACAGTAGAGACGAACTGTATACTGTATGATTCAGACGACTAACTATTAAATATTCTGTATCTTAAAAAGGTATATGGACGTTGTTTATCGACGTACCGACAGAACTGCAGGAAGGCTGCCTTCAGGAGTTTGGTTTTGTCCTCCTGAGCCACAGGTTCTGCTCTGGTTGGAGTCTCCATGGCAGAAACCTGAAATGCAAAATCAAAATTACAAATGCATTTAACCACAATCAGTAAAGAATGGTTCACATGGTTTAGTGCAATTTTCTTCATTTCATTTAAGTTTCCATCCATTCATCTATACACTGGTTTATCCTCAGTAGGCTCACAGGGGCTGGAGTCTATCTCAGCTGACTCAGGGTGACGGCAGGATTCACCCTGGACAGGTGTTGGTTAGATTTCCTTTTTTTAAGCAAGAAGTCTAGAGTGAATGAATGTACAACCATGTCTCATAAATGTCTTCGTCCAAAGCCTGTCCCTCTGCCAGCAGCAGGGTGATGGTTTACCTCTGGTCCTGCTGCCAGCGAGGAGCACAGAGAGTCCTCCATGGTCTCTGGTAGGATGGAGGCGCTTTCTCGGGCCACAACAGCCACCAGGCCGCTGTTCTGGGAGAAAAACACCGGCAGGTTGGCGCAGCAGCCTCCTCCACGTACGTTGTCACCTGGACAGACCGAGACGTCAACACAGACAGATCAGTTTTTTATTTGGTTGATACTCCTCTCAAACTAAAATTATTCATATAAATAATAACAGTGCTTTACTGCTTATTAAACAAGTAGCAGGAACTACCTCTGTCTGTGCCAACTCATTTCTTTACGTTTTATCTTTATTATTCAGTTTAAAAAAACACTTTTTCTAAGTTGCGAAGCTGGTAGTGGTGAAGTTTAAGTTTTTACTTATTTTTCTGAAGGGTTCAGTTTGTTAAAAATAAAAAATATGCCAAAACTATATTATTCAGGAATTAGTGAGCACATGAATTTCCATCCATCCATCCATCATCTATACACCACTTATTCCTCACTGGGGTCATGGGGGGCTGGAGTCTATCCCAGCTGACTCAGGGTGAAGGCAGGTTCACCTGGACAGGTAACCAGTCTATCACAGGGCTACACTTAGAGACAGACAACCAAGCACACTCACATTCACACCTACGGACAATTTAGAATCACCAATTAACCTCAGCATGTTTCTGGAATTGTGGGAGGAAGCCGGAGAACCCGGAGAGAACCCACGCTGCACGGGGAGAACATGGAGACTCCACGCAGAAAGATCCTGGGTGTCCTCACCAGAACAGGAACCGGCGACTTTCCAGGTGACGGTGCTAACCACCGAGCCACATTGCAGCCCCTCCTCGACATACATTTACTTGTAAAATCTTTTGTTTTTCACTTTGCAGTTTTTCAAAATTCCATCACCGTCCATCCGTGCTATTATTTCTCAACTAATCCTTGTTTATTTCAAAGCCAATAGTTTTTTCCTCATAAATTCTACTTAGTGTTAATACAGTATGACAAACAGCAGTACAGAGAAATGTAAACAAGACATACGGCCTAATTTATGATTGGCATCTTAACATCTTTAACGCAGAAGGGCCACTTCTCACCCGGTGAGTTAAAGCTGATCTTCTCATCGGGCAGCCCCCCCCTGCTGGTTCCTGTTGAGCAGGCGAACACCAGCTCCTCGTTGTAGAGGAAAGCCGTGGAGCCAGGGGAGCGCGGCAACACCAGCCGGGTGGCCTGTAGGGCCTCCTCGCTCTGAAGAAAAAACATGACAAAAAACTATTAAAATGTATGTGTGCATCAGCTATTTCTTCTGACAGGGACTCTAATAAAACATAGGAGGAATCTAAACACAGAACAAGTCATGTAGTCATGAAAACAGCTGCGTCTCCTTTCAGAAACAGTGTCTTGGTTACTGAGGATGATCCACTTGCATAAGGTTTTAATAGGGACTACTGTTTGTTCAAAGGCAGGATACTACTGAATGTCTCACGTTCTTTTTTTCAGTGAATACAACACAAATCAAATTTCCCTACATTTTTTTAAGACCTCTAAAAGTGATTATATAAAAATTGCAGCACATAAATCAGAATGGACTGCATGGCATGATACCATTAAAGGCAGGCAGATGAAATGATCAAACTGAACCAGTACAGAAAGCTCTGGATCCTGTGACAAACTAAACTGAAGTTTAATCCCCCTCTGCAGTATCAGAATCCATACTGACCTGGAATGGAGAGCTGTACTTGGTGACCTCCACGGTGAAAGAGTCAGAGATGGTGGCTCCGCTGTCCTGCAGGGTGACCAGGCAGAAGTAGGCCAGGCAGGGAGTGTCTGACGGGTGCCAAGCTGCAGCCAGAACCACCAGACCGGCCCTGAAAGCACACAGCACAGAGTCCGGCTCAGCTTAGCTGGTCACACAGCACAGTGCTAAAGTTTGAACCTGCTTCAAAGCGCTGTACAGATAGATTTGGAGAAATGTAGGCATCTCATCTTGTCTTTTTGTGGAATCCAAGACGGACTCCGTGATGTGAAACATTTAAAGATCCTCTTGACGAAGTGTGAAATGACCACAAAGTGTTAAATGTAAAAATGATCCAGTGTTGATTTGTCCAAACCTGAGGTCTATCTTTGCATTGGTGTCATTTCTCAACAAACACTGGTTGTTACATTTGTGCTAAATATTATGTTATGCTCCAAGACGGCCAGACTGAAAACAGTCCCGTACGTGGAGATGGGAACAGTAACAGTCATGTGGACCCGCCACAGTTAATAGGACCGTCATGATGCAGGATGGTCAGCTGACTTGGCGCTCCTGAGATCACATCTACAGACGGACTAACATTCTGAACTCGGTGCTTGTTGATTGTTATCTCTGGCTACAAGATATAAAGGCTGTGGAATTAGAGTCAACAGTGTTTGAATTCTATTAAAATTCTATTAAATTCAATGCGTCACTCATCATCTATACACCACTTAATCCTCACTAGGGTGGTGGGGGGCTGGAGTCCATCCCAGCTGACTCAGGGTGAAGGCAGGTTCACCTGGACAGGTAACCAGTCTATCACAGGGCTACACTTAGAGACAGACAACCAAGCACACTCACATTCACACCTACGGACAATTTAGAATCACCAATTAACCTCAACATGTTTCTGGACTGTGTGGGAGGAAGCCGGAGAACCAGGAGAGAACCCACGCTGCACGGGGAGAACATGGACACTCCACGCAGAAAGATCCTGGGTGTCCTCAGCGGGACACAAACCGGTGACCTTCCAGCTTTGAGGCAACGATGCTAACCACCGAGCTACCTTGCAGCCCTAATAGGGCTCATTCTATCTTAAATCATCAAAATTTGTAGAACAATTTGTAATCAGAGATGGTTGAGCAGAAGGCCTTTGATCATTTGCCATGAAAAAAACTCACAGGAAGATCAGTGCCTGTTTCAATCACACACCCACACACAGAGTAAGACACCTACTGGCTGAGCTTCATGTCCAGATACGCCACGTTCGCCCCCTCCTTCATCTCCTCGTAGTTGCTCTCTGATCCCTGGTGGAAAAGACATTCTCAGCAAACAGGTCGTGTGTTTTAACCATCACTGCTGCCCATTTCTAGTAGAAATGACGTAATGCATAAAACATTCGACAGTGCACAAGTTCTGGCCTATCAGCAGGCTAGCAGGGTTAGCCTCAAAGCTGCAGACAATGTGGGATCTTTATTCATCTTGTACAATGTGTTGACTAAAACTGGCTTGTTCTGCTGCTGCTCCCACCCTCCCCCCTTCCATCTCCCATCCGACACTGCTCTGACCTCCACACATTCAAATCCTTCTTAAAAACTCACCTATTCAAGGTTTTAATGTTTAACTGTTATACATTTTTTATACCTGCTTTTTTATTCAACTTGTTGGTTTCTGTTTTTATCTTGTCCCCTCTAAAGTGACTCTGAGTATCTCGAAAAGCACTATACAAATAAAATGTATTATTATTATTATTACTAAAATTACATATTTGAATCTGTCGTCCTGCAGCCAGAATCTGACACTTTTCTGTGCACATATCTCCACAGCCGTACTGTGGAGTTCATACAAAGTGTAAGCATGCTTGGCTGTGTATTGTAGTGCCCCAACTGACATGACAAACACGCTATCTGATAAATTTCTTCTGCTGTCTTACAGTAACCCCATAACAAAATAATTTCGTGCATCTCTCTTTAACGTGGTCTCGTGTATCCTTGTACTGACCCAGATGGCGTCGGCGATGCTCTCAGTCAGAGCTCTGCGGGCGTCCCAGCTGAGGATCTGGTGCTCCGAGCTGTCATCCACCTCCCATTTACTCAAACTGGAATTGGTTAGTGTGTACAGGCAGCTTGTTCCCTCCACCCACAGTACACTGTGTAGCTGCAGGAGCAACAGAGGAACACGTGAACACTTAAATTAGGTGCTGAAAATGCTTCAATTGACAGTGGAAAACAAGTGCAGTCACTATTCAGCGTCTGGTTCTGTGCCAAAGTAATTGTTCCAACAGCTCCTGGACCTGCACCAAAACTAAACACTAATTTCTCTTCATGGTTAAGTCTAGCTTTGGAGAAATCCTACATACAATAATATACTGGCTAGTAGTATTTTTTTTTTTTTAAATGAGCAGAAATGGGGTTCGATATTTACTGATTATATTTCAAGCTTTGCTTTACTCAGTTACAGCAGTACAACACAATGTTGGGACAAACTAATACTCAGACTGTCAGAAACTCGTGTATATGGACTCTGGCTATAACATCTATACATCTGCATTGATTGTATTATGAATCTGAACTCAGAGCGTGTTAGTTATCACACGCACTGGGACATGTGGCTGTGCACTGGGGCGTTGTGGCTACATCAGCAAGTTATCTTATAGCTAAGAACTTTTTTGAATAGCGAGTCTTTCAGCAGCATTTCACAATAAAAAATGAACAACTGAGAAAAAACACGAATCGATCAAACTGGAATCTCGTAGTGAGACTCACTGTGTCGTTGGCTGGCAGGGAGAGGATGCCAAACAGGCTGGAAACACGACGCCCAATGCCAGACAGCATTCCCTGACCCTGCTGCAGGGCTCGATACTGCAGCTTTCCTGACGAATCCGTGCTCACTCTTAACAGCTCACCCTTTACTGACGACACGACAAAGCTTCCGCCCTGAGAGAGAAGAGGAAAGTCAAGGAGAACGACAGAGGTAAAACGAACTGTCGATCAAAACTGAAGGTTCAAACCTGACCTAAGGAGATTATATCACCACAACCTTTTTCTGTTTGATATTTTTATCCTCTCATGATAAATTACAATCAAAATAAAAACTCATGGATCAACTCTGGCAACGAATAGGCTTCCAAGTTAGACATTTTAAGCTACACAAAGCATCAAAATAAATCTAATTTACAGAGGATCTACTTACTCTGACAGCAACAACAAAGTTGCAGAGATCTCCCAGGTCCACATCTGCCTCGGAGTAGTTGCCCTCCTGTGACAGGTTGGGCCATAATCGAGCTGTTCCTTCCGCAGCCACCGCCAGCACAGAAATGGACTGAACGGCAGCAATCTCCAAAGGAGCCACGGACGTCACGGCCACGAGGTCGGCTGTGTAGTTGTACTCGCTGTTGGGCAGCTGCAGTTCCTTACACACCGATAGCTGAACGAAAACACAGAGTTTAGTTTGTAAATTTAAAGATGTCAGCTCTGCATTTGTATATGAATTCTCTAAGGCTGCACGACCCTATAATTTTTAGGATGACAATCATTTTGGTGAATAACTTAGAAGACCACAACCAATGCATCAGTCAGCATTATCACAGACATATCAGTATCTGTGTTTATGCATCAATATGTTTTTATAGAACTTGAGAAAAAAAAAGAAGCTTAAAAAATTGTGCCATCACAGAGTTTGTCCAGCAGAGCAGCTCCAACTCCACCGCTTACAACACTCTCAACACTGTCTGCAGCACGTGTAGCAGAGTACGTACAGTACAGGGGTACAGTTGCAAACTAGTTTGGGAAATGCATTGCTAGAAAACAAAACAAACAAAAAAAACCCGACCACATCCTTTTACTTTCATAATATACCATATATTAGCAAATATATCTATACGCACAGACATTTTGAGCAACAAAACTCATAAAAGACAGAGGAATGTTTTATTTGGGTACAATGGTTAAATGTTTGGTCAAGAGCTCAATAGCTCTTCCTGGTATTTCAGTACTTTGGACATAAGCTCTTATGTTTATGTCACGAGAAATTAGTAGGTCAATAACCTGGAATTTCTTTGTTTATAGATGAGTTTTCACCATGACTTTAAAGGAACTCGCTCTTGTTAATTATGCTTTTTAGGGTTAGTGTTTATGCAGTATTATTACAGGTTTGTAACAAGTTACTGCATAACAACTGATGCCAAATTGACGCAGCAAATCTGAACCTGTTTTCAATCCCAACTGATGAGCATGCAAACAGACACAACAAACCTCTCAAGTTCCAAAAGCTTTCCAGCCTTCTCAATTGACCTGACTGGAACAGGTCAACTATACAGACTCACCCACTAATTTACTTTTCTCCTATATCCCCCCCCCCCCAAAATACAAAAATTTAAAGGCAAGTTGGTTTGTTCAAAAAGACTTGACTACAAACCATTCCATTGGTAGTGGCTTCACATTAAATACACACAACACATCAGTTGTTTGTGCTACAGCTTGACCACTTTCCCCCTCATAGATACACTGACGGGCTCGCATCCTGTAACTGAACCGCACCTTGGCCACAGCAGTCTGGCAGATCTTCCAGATGATCAGTCTCTCACCACAAACCATCCATGCCCAGCCGCTCTCGTTCACCTTTACAGATATCTGGTCATCAGCTAGAGGAGCAAACACATACAAAACAGTTAAGTGGCAACACTGGAAAGCAGCATACATTACTTTAACAAATCCTCAGAACCAGAACAGCACATTAAGAGGCGAGTTAACTGGGGGACATCAGAGAAAATAAATAGAATTTGCTGGTCTGAAATCACACCAGAATCGTTATTTCTCCAACAGAGATGAGGTTTCTCCTACCATCAGCCATCGTCAGTGCCTCCATCACTTTGACAGGAAGCGACGAGCCAAAGGTCTGCACATCATAGTTGATGGTTTCTGCAGCTGCATGGCCCTGCACTCGGGTAGGTGTTGACCTGGTGGAGAAAGACATTAAGACAGAGTGGACAGATTCTCATCAGCTCAACACTGGGCTGAAACTGGAGTGAATGTGCTGTACTGATAAATGTTTCCAATGGTTAGTCTATAGTAGTAATAGCAGTAATAGTTTAGTATAGCTGCAAAAAATTGTCAAATCGTGATCCTGCAGCTGGTTTCAACCATTTTTCATGCAATAAATAGTGAGGAGCTACCGTTAAACCGAGACGATGAGGAACTATCCTCTGCAGGGCTTCTCTGTCTGACAGACTGCAGCTGGAGGACCATGTTGAGATGCAGCATCTCAGAAAGCTCTCCACCACACTTCTGTAAAAAGTCCTGAGGGAGCTGAAACAAGCCTCTCTCCCTGCCAGCATTCTTAGCTAAGTCAAACTAATTTATCTTGGTGTCATGTGTCAGTCTTCATAAAGATAAAATGGATTCCACGACTTTTGCGTCGGGCTGCATTAGTTTCAGCAAGACGGAGCTAACACGCTGGCAACAGCGTGTGTATACAAAAAAGGTCAAACATTGCTGCTTAGTGGTTTCCACTCACCTCGCCGACAGCGGCGTCCTGCGCGGGGAGAACAGCAGGCTGGTGGCCGCACCGGAGACGCTCTTCCTCCCGGTGGCCCTGCCCTGCTGCCTGCGGCCGGAGCCCGGGGCAGTGCGGGGGCTAAACATGCCTGCAGTGGGTCCCTGAACGGCTCAACAGTCGAGAAATATCTACTATTTTGACCGTAAGAGCGTAATGACACGATGTATTCACCACATCCACCGTTCAACTTCTCCAAACAACGCGCGGCGAAGTCGCTTGAATAATACGTCATCGTCGCGCCCGCTCAGTCTTTAAAAAACTTTATTGACAGCATGAATGGAACAATTACAACAATAACGGCAAAGTATAGGATTTAGACAGATCTCATTTTAGACGGAGTCCGCTCTAAACGAACTTATAAGTCGTAAAACTTGTAAGAGACGGATTTTTAGAAAGTAATTACAACAGTCAGTAACAAAATATTTAGTTCCGTCATCCTTTTCTTTCTTTATTTTTGTATTTGTATATCAGTGTTTTCACCTACAGAGTAGTATTTCCCACAGTGTGACCCACTGGATATAGACTTAAACCTTGATTATGCTTCCTTGAGGACACATATGGAGGCAGAGATGTTCCTATTTTTATACTTTTCTTTTCCACTTAAAAGACTTCACTGCATACATGCACATGAGGTCATATATAGATTATATAATGATATGTATATGATGTATATCATTTTAAAAGAGATAGAAGCATGCTTCTTTTAGCAGGCGTTTCATCTCCCTATACCAGAACAGTAAATAGGGAGGACCAGATCATTTTCCAGACTGACACAGCATCGTGGCTGGCTGTGTAGTTACCAAGACAAACAAACTGAACTTCATGTGTGAAACTGGTGGAGTGGTCCTTTAATTGTGTTTAAATGATCTTCTAGCATTTTGACTAAAGGCACTTTAAGATATGACAACTTGGAGTTGAGGCCTAGACTGTGTGGTGTAAAGGTTCTCTTATGCAGGTTTTGATCCCCACACCAGCACGAAAACACACACACACACACACACACACACAAAACACTTCCTAGAAAGTTAGGTTGCAGCAAAGTAACGATGTCACACCCATAGGAGCACGACGAGACAGCTGAGTTCATATCAGGTAAGACAAACAAAACTTAAATGTGAAGCTGTGTTATTTAGATACGTGGCATTATGTTGTACGTCTTTGGCTCAAACCGAAGAGCAGCTTAAAAAGAGGCAGAGAGCCGATGTGGAAGAGTGAACTGAAAGTCAAAGTAAGCTACCTCCGCAGTGGCACTGCGACCTGCGCTTCAGTTTTAATTTAGCTTAAAGTTTTTTTTATTCAAACCGTCTGCAAAGTCACTACGCTATCCCCAAATGAGGTAACAGAACATTAGTTGAACCTGAGACACACATGAAATCATGTGAAAGTTTTTGTATTTACAGTAAACGCTGGTGTGACAGTCCTGCGTAAAATCTTAGGCAGGCAGTGAACTGTTGTTCCTTCACAGAAAGATGCAGTCAGTGTGTAGCAGTGCCATGACCTCTGACTGGAGGATGGTGTTAACAGTGGTGGTGGAGGTACTCAGATCAAGTCACAATGGCAATGCTTAGAAATAAGTAAAAGTTCTGCATTCAAAATGTCCCGCATTAGACAACTGTGTTTAATGACATATGCACTGATAGTATAACATTTTTATCATGTAATCAGCAGTGTCTGTCAGTGTACTGCAGTACAACATTTATTAATTCCAGTGCCACTAATTAACTTCTCAGACATCCAGAAGATGAGTGACTGTGGGGATGAAGAGGAGGAGCGACCAAAGCCTATACTACCTGATGGGCCTGAATATGTTTCACCTCACTCTGTTGAGAGTTCTCATTCAGATGGGAAAAAAGTGCAGTAAGTACACACAGTTTATAGTGTAAACTGGTGAAGATTGAAATGTGCAAAGATCTTCAGGCTAAAACACAGAGAGGAGGGGGAGGACTGCAACTGTCATGTTTGCTAATGTTGAGTGATTGTATTGTATGAAATGTAGAAAATATCAGGTACAGAGAAAAATCCCCCATAATTCATTATAATCTATGGTGATGTTTGATGAAGAGCTCCAGTCAACTATTTAATTTCATTATTGATTAATCTGCCTTTTTTGATTAATCGAGTAACTGTTTGATCCATTACATAAGTTGAAGAAAAACAATAATAATAAAAGAAGAAACAGGTTTATATGTTTTTGGTATGACTAAAAATGACTTGAATGGTAAAAATAGTGTGAAGTCAAAGTCGTAAATCATCACATTCAAGGTTTAAAACAAAACCTGCTGATTGTTCATGCTGAATACATGAGCTCAAATATTTGATGACAAAAAAACAAAAAAGATTGTATTACCTTTTCTGGAATTCAAGAATGTTCTAACTTACAGGTGCATGTATTGTTATTACTGCAAACGCTGGTGTTGTCATGAAGTCACTGCAAGCAGAACACGTGGACACAATGGCGCGTCACAGACAGGGTTCAGGCAACGACAGGTTTATTTACAGGCAGAGGTCGGTAACAGGTTGTCAATCCAAACAGGCAGAGGTATCCAAAAACAGCGGGCCAAAGACAAGGTCGAAAGCAGAAAACGAGGTCACAACAAGGCAGACTATGACTATGATAACGCTGGGATGAGGACTGTGAAGTGCAACGAACTGGCAACAAGACTGTGAGACACACAGGGTAATATACATGAGGTAATGAAGGGAGATGGGAAACAGGTGAGGGGAACAATCAGGGAGCAGGTGTGATGAGACAGGTGCAGGAAGTAAAGCCAGACAGAGACAACCAGTTAGTGATTTCAAAATAAAACAGGAAAGACAAGACATAAAATGTGCACACATAAACAGAAACTTGACAGACATGACAAGTGTAGTGTGTAAAAGTAAAGAGTTTCAGGTAGGTTTAGATTACAATCAAGTAAAAAATGTTGGATGAGGTGATTTCAATTCCACTTACATGAAGCTAAATCCAGGCGAGGAGGCTGGAAACAGGTTCAAAGGTGATAAAGTCTCATTCCAGCTCTTTTTACTGTAATTAATTAAATCTGTTCTCACAGACGTTCTTGTGGCGATATCGTTGTAGAGCTGAACTGCTGCATGTCTATGGCGACATTCCTTAAAATTTATATACATATATATGTATTCAATTTTAAGTCCTTACAAAATATGTATATACAAACATTCAGTCAATCATCAGAAGCTCCTGTAGATTAAAAAAATGCAAGATACTAAATAGACTGGAGAATAGAAAATGGAGAAAAAAAAAAGTTGAGTTTGTTTCAGTTGAGTTTTCAGGTCTGTGAGAAAAGGTTAAACAAAAAAAGGACCCAGTTGCAGACACAGAAACAGACTAAGAAAGGTGGTAAGTAAAGAAGGATTTATGAAGAGAGAAGTCAGGGCAAACAGTCAAGGAAGATGAGCCACCGCTATAACTCACCTGGTTGAGCTGGCGACCCACGTACAGGGGCGACAGTCCCCGATGCAATGGCCATGGGTTCGGGTCCCGCTCGTGGCCCTTTGCTGCAGGTCCTTCCCCCATTCTTCTCCCCCACTTTCCTGTCTCTCTCTTCACTGTCCTATATCATAAAGGCAAAAAGGCCAAAAAACAAACAAACAAAAAACAATCAAGGAAGATAACTACGTGGGAAAACCCAAAAAAAAAAAAAAAAAAGGCAAAGCTTCAAAAAACAGGAAAAATTGCCTAACTATATTTCAAACATAACAAGAAAGGCCCAACTAGCAGTCCACTCTTGTTGTGTGTGTGTGTGTGTGTGTGTGTGTGTGTGTGTGTATATAAGTACATGTCATATTAACTGCCTTCTAATTTGCTTTTTCAGGACAAATCCACAGAGGAGTAAAAGAACATTTGACTTCAAAAAATTTAGAGAATCACTTGGTCTTACTTGTTTAGGTAAGTGCTTGAAGTACTATTTGTTTGATTTTGGGTGAATTGAACCTTAAAGCCCCAACCTTACATCTGTGTGAACTCTGCATGTCGAGGTAAAAAGTAAAACATTGATCTGTCCATCTCCAGCTGGCTGTTGTTTTCCCCAGTGGGGCGTTTCTTCATTGACCTCTTGGCTTTAAGATTCAACTGTAGCTGTAGTAGCTGTGGTTTTGTAATAAATGTAGGAGATACTGAAAAACAAAAAACATGAAGAAACTAAACGTTATGTGCATGTTTATGTTGCAATAAAATAATGTTAAAATATTGAATGTCACCTATAGCAACTTTCGAGTCTTTAGTTGACGTACATGAGACAGTCGCTGTGAAATTTGATTCAGTTGGGTTGCAATGGGTTAATTTAGCTTCTGTTTCAATGGCTGCCAGCTGAGTGTTTCACTTTGTATGTGCTCCGCTCCATCAGGTCGGTCATCTACAAAGAAGTACTCTACTGCACTGCCTTCACCCAGGTAATCATAACACAAAATATAACATTGTATTTTCATGCTGTAATTGTTTAAAAGAATTTCCAGGACAATCTGCCTTTTACCAGTACAGGGTACTCTGCTGCTTCACAGGCTAAACGCAGGTAATTATAGCATGAAATATAACATTTTGTTTTCATACATTATTGTAAAGATTTCATTTCTTATAATCATGAGTCTTCTTATTTTATGAATGACACAAATCATATAGAATCAGTCAGTATAAATGCAGTCGAGTGTCACAGTGTGTGTCTTTTATGTTACCCACTTTGTTTTTGCCTATACAGTCTTAAAAACTTAGGTAGTAAACTCAAACGAGGCCATTCTGCAAGAGAAGATGCATTTGTTGGTAAGTGTACCTACATGGATTGGTAAACACTTGATGGAAATTATTTACCTACATTCACTTAATTCCTGTACTTAAGTTCACTGTTGGACAAAACAATGGAAAACGTGATCACTATACAACTCATAGACTATCTTCAGGACAGTCAATTTCTTCATCCACACCAGTTTGGTTTCAGACCAGGCCACTCACTGAAGATAGTAAACAGAGCCTGGGGGGGGTAATGTTGTGGGAGCTGTTTTTCTTGACCTCAAAAAGGCCTCTGATACTGTCAATCATACTTTGCTTTCATCCAAATGGATTTCTTTTGGTTTTTCCTCTGAGACAATAGATTGGTTTACATCATATTTGCAGAACAGAGAACAATGTGTCAGAGTTCACCAGAACACATCAACGGTTTTAAATACCCGCATGGGCATCCCACAAGGGTCCATTCTCGGTCCCTTACTGTTCAGCCTTTTCATTAATGATCTGCCGTTAAACTGCTTCACTGCAACATGTCAACTCTATGCAGATGATGCAGTTGTATATACGACCACCAAGACACCAGCACAGGCTGCAGACATCCTGTCTTCATGTATGATTAATAGTGGCTTGTTCAAAATTTTTCTCAGTTAGTAAATCAAACCAACAATATTTTAAAGTTAATGTACAAAACCAAGAAATCAGTTAAATGACAGAATTTAAGTACAGTCAAGGTTCAGTCTGAAAGGGATCCAAAAATGCAACAAAGGGTTAGGTGTGAAAAGAGGGATTTATTCGAGGCAGCGGGAAAACGGGGGACACCAGGAAGCATGTGAGGGTAGCCAAGTGAGGGAGGGAATTCCAGGAGAGGTTTCCAAGAGGATCTGGGAAGCAGAACTGCTGAGACCTGAGCTAGGCTGCAGAAGCAGGGTCAGGGAGGCGTTGAACCGACGGGGAGGCTCTGGCAACAAATGCAGACAAAATTGAAGTCAGACAAAGCAAGATTCTCAAAAACACAAAGTTCCTTAGTTAACTGGATGGCCTGTTACCACTTGAGGGAGGAATAATCAACTGGTGCTGGAGCACAGGTGGAGGCAGGCTTTATCCAGCGCTGATTACCGATGAACATCAGGTGCGGAGGAGAGTGAATGAGTCCTCTCCGGTCCAAAAACCCCGCCCAGCCTGAAACACACTTGCAGCCCGCAATATACAAGCACATACACTAAAACATGTTTCACACAAACACGAAAAAACTCGCATCACCACAACTACCTTGGTGTCTTAGACCCTCAACTTAAATTTAATCTTCACATAAAGAAGATTTCAAATACAGTTAAAAAACATCTGAACTGCTTCAAATTATTCAGAAATCATATTCCTAACCAGGCAGCCCTACTGTTCATGCACACTCTGATCTCCTCCCATATCTCATTCTGTCTGACAGTTTGGGCTCAAGCAGCCCC